CATATTCTAGATATCATACATCTATTGAACATTCAAATGTGTTAAAGATTCTGATGTAATAGGAAATCAAAATGAACAAAGATTAATATCATAATTTCATTTTGTATGTAATAACGTTCATAAAATATACATTTACATTTATTATATCTCTGTGNGTCTCTGTGTGTGTGGCATATATAAAAGTGCATTGATATTTTAATATTTGTAGGAACCTGCAGGTATCTTTGAACTGATTGAAGTTGTTGGCAATGGAACCTACGGTCAAGTTTACAAAGTAAGTACATAAACTTTATTACATATTTTTTTATAAGTACTGTTCCTTTATGTTATGAATCATCTTATCAGTTGCTACAAATAATCCTTGTATTCTTATATACTTTTCAAAGCATCTTTAAAGATTTCTTTCATATAAGAAAGAAAACCTTTCCTTAAATGCTCGATTGGAACAAAGTAGGAAACATCAATTATGAACATTCTGTTTGAAGATTTATGACCATATCCCTTAAGAAAAGAGAGTCATCCTTTTAGAAATACTTATCGCCTTATAATGATTGTTAAATTATTAATAGAGGAAAGAGATACATACAATTCTTATCACAAAGTCTTTTTAGTTCATTTTATTTACTTATCTTCATCTATCTTTATCTATTGTTGTGTTGTTTGCCATTCAATATGCAATGGTTTATCAATTTATATAGAATTTAAGTAATGATTGACTGGTAATATGTTTCTCACGTATGCATTATACCGTACCAATAAAGATCATAAATAAATACACTACAAGATCATAAAAAGTTGTTAAACAAAACTGAGCAATCGATAAAAGTGAAGCTCCACCTAAAACTTGTTTAAAAATTTGAGAAGGCTTGTCGATCAACTCAATATATGTGTACACACGAACATGTGTGTATGCACCTGTACAAACGTTTACATGTATGTATGCATGGTACAAATTGGTATTGGTTAACGTACAAGGATGGAAAGATGTCTATTTTCACGTGTGGTTGAGATTGAAGGAGACAGTGATTCACCTTGAAAAAATTCTTGGCAAAGTTGTCCTTGGATGGACAACCATGTGCGAAAAACAGTCGCGTATAAGAGGTCGAGAATCTTAACCGGAAGGATGTGGAATATACTCGGTGTACAAATAAATAGCTTTCATAGTCAAATCGGTGTCGTCTGTCGGTACGAACTTTTCGAAAATTTCGTACCGATCACGAGAAATTCAAAAGTTTTACTCTGTTTTTCTCTACGTTTCGCCTAATTTCTTGTCTACGTTTTTATTTAATTTCACTTAAAAATTTGTAACGAACTTTCATTTAGCACTATCATTCTTCGCGATGTATCAGCGTCTTGCGCGTAACGCATACAATCGAAGAATTACAGGAACAGTTCTCCAGGCGATACACAGACATTAAAATGAGTTTTTATACGATAAACCTGGAAACATCGAACGATACGAAGTTTTAATGATTCGTAGTTCGGAAGATTATTCCGCGGGTTTCACAACATTTCATTTATTCCACATTAAATGGCCTTTGTATGCGAGCGTATGGTACAATTCGAAGAATACGTGATTCCGCGAGTTCTTCGAACTCGGATCACGTTCGATGATTTCTACGGGTCAATTGGCTTTTTATTTAACAGTTGAACGATCGATACGCGGTTCCTTTGGACCACGCAACGCATTGCATAGGTCCAATCAGATTTTCTGAAAATAAAAATCAAATACGGTCACTCTAAAAAATCGTCGGACACTGAATTTGTTTGACTTTTTCGTAATGTCTCAGTTAATTAGGAAAGAATTCGGGCGTTGTCTTCATTCCTTCTCTGTACAGTGTTTACTTAATTGTTACATTTAAAAAGCGGCAACTTAAGTATCATTCGAACTGAACACGGCAGGATGATCATATTCATATGTATGTTAATGTTTAATGGATTTCGTGCGATGATTGTGGAAGTTCAAGATGTTATTAAGTAAAAATAATTCATAAACGTTGAAAAGGTATAGAAATCTCTGTAATTGTGGCGCCCACACACCACACCCACACAGTTTAAGTCCAATATACTCCTAATATACATTATTAATTGAAAGTAATATTGATAGTAACAGCGGTAACTCTTTGTTATTTAAGTATCACTTTATGCTACTTACAGTAGATTCTTATAACTTTACAATATTTAAACACTGGTGTTCCCATGAACACTAGTTAAGAACCACTGCTGCAACGTCAGTTAGACACTTATGCAAATCGAAAAATAGATTCCCTAATTTAATTTGAAAAATGTTACTTAAGAGGTCATCTCACTGAACTCGATTCCCTGCATACAACGAACTGTGCATGGTGATTATGTATTTTACCGGTTACGTCACGCACTCACTCTTGCAAAGATTGCTTGCGTTACAGTAGATAAAGCTTTTCGAAACTGAATCAGTAAATATTTGTTGAAGTAATTCGAAGCAATCGTTCAGTTCATATTTACAATGGATTCAAAAGTATTTGAACGATTTTCAAAAATTGTCGGGTATTTCACCGTTACGGTTTTGTAGAAAACGACAATAAAACAATGAAACCGAATTTATTTCAAAGCCCGAAGCCCCTACTTTTACAATTTATTCTTCACTTTTTCCTAAATTGTTTCTTTTGCAAAATATAGTCGATGGGAAACTGGATACACGTTTTATCCTAGAAAAAGCTACAAATTAAAACATTTTCAGAAACGTTAAGAGATTTAAAATGAATTTGAAATGTAGAATTTAAGTATGTTTGAAGTCATATAACGGTTATTATACATCTGAAATTATATACAGTAGAGGCTCTCTTATCCAAATATTTTATTCAAATTCTCTACTAGGTGATAATGTATTTAAATAATATAATGATTGAATAATAAAATGTTTGGATACCAGAATATTGTAAAACTAAATGTTTTAAGAAGGGAGTCTCTATTAGTGGTAGGCTCCAGATTACATGTAACTATAGTGTGTTTCAAATACAGAAGTTTAACTACATGTTATTTTTATTCGATTTAAATCTTAATAAAAATGGATTTGTGTGCAACATGTGTAGCTCGCAACTTGTTTATGAAAATATGAATTTATGCATACTATAATAAATGTTTCTAAAAATTTAGATTTTGAAGAAAATCTTCATTCGCAACTTCAAAATGGATAAATTTTCTCTGTACAAGTTGTAATAAATATTTTTTGCAGTTCTCATGCGTACAGCTTATTTTAATTTTAATTTGCGGTAATTGGACGACGAACGTAAGTTCTCATGAATTAATTTTCGAACACTGTAATGCAAAATTCAATGAATTAAAAGCGAAGCTAGGATTAAATTGACAAGTAATTTTAATCATAATTTTCAATAGAAAGATCATCGAACGAAATTATCAATAAAATGTGAATTTCATTTATAACTGTTAACTTCTTGTTAACAATGATGCAAGCTCAACGGCTTTCGTTTCGAGTTGTTCCAAAATTCGAGATTAGATACAACCCAATTTATTAATTGCGAAATGCAATTGCATCGAACCGCGTTAAGCGAAATTGACATTTTCGATAATTAGAAATCAATATTGTAACTATAGATTCAATTGACCCGATCAATGAATTTGCGTTCCATAAATTTATTTATAAAAACTCGAGCCGTAATAAAATTTCATTGCAATCAAAACCTACAGTCTCGTCGCGTTTTATTGCATTGGTTTCATAGACAATTCGATCTTCTTTTTTTTTCAATTTGCCGTGCGCATTGATCGCTTCACAGCGCGTAACAGCCACAAATAATACAGAAATATCGGCGATACCCGAACGCGTTCAGGAATTATTTTCTAAAATTCCGTGAAACTTCCGATGTAAACGCTCTCGTCATGATTTTTTTCGATGCTTAATATTCAACAGCGTCGATTATGTGTAAATATTTATGAACGAATTCACTTAAGCGTTTTCATGCCGTCTAACGAGCTGCGACGTGTTCTTTCCGAGGCGATCGCGTTATTTCAAGTATGCGTCTAGCCTTCGGGTTCTCTTACGTATACAAAAAAAAAAGAAAAAAAAGGTGAACTTCGCAAGTGTTTCGTATCGTATCGCCCCGGTTTATTTCACGTAATTGTTAACATTAGTTTTGCGCTATGCGATGATAGATAACCAGGGGAAGCGAGGAAGAGTACGTTGACCTACTGCCGATGATGACATAGAACGAATGGAACACGCGGTTGCATGAATACGCATGATCACTGTCGTCTCTTCAATTTCTGTCGATTTAGAAATTACGAAGAATGATCGAGCGAATAATAATTAGCGGTGCACAGGGCGTATCGCGTGAAAGAAACCGCGCAAATATCTCCAGCTCGTATCAGATTGTTAACAAAAAAACAATTTACTACGTTATAAATAGCGTTTCTTTATATTCTCACTCGCCTTGCTTTGTAACGTCGTATATAGCTATTGTTACTATTAATTAGTAAAATGATTTACTACGTCTTGTTACTGTTTTTCCACGTGTTCATTGTTGCCGAAAGTATTCCTATAAATTATGACTAGTTAAACTCGAGAAATTAGATTTAGCTGAATACTGTTGTTTCAGACAATCGTTTTTGTCACTGTTTCTTGAGCGTGGAGAATAATTACTGGCGCAACACGGGTTGCCAAGTTATTTATTATCAGAGTCAAGAATTTCGTGCCGTTAATTCCGAGTTGAATTCATTCAGCAAATATAGACGATTCAATGTAATTCTAGTGGAATGTAATCATTAAAACGTAATGTAAAACGAATGTAATCATAAAACTAATAATGTAGAGGAATTATCGAGAGATTTTTTACGGTTCTGATGTTGGTTTGTTAAAAATGTATAACATTTTAAAAAATATCTTGTACATTTGTTAATTACGTGAATTTTTGATATAGCTGGGAAAAGGCGGACGTGTGTTAGAAGCTGTTAGCGTGTTTGTTACGTTCAAAAATAGCTGGTTCGGATTAATTATAGCGATTTATAATAATTTGAAATTTGTTAATATTTCTCGACTAATTGCATCTCAAACTTCGACTCTAATTTTCCGCAGAAATTCCTCCGCGAAGTTACGAACTTTCTTCATCTGATTAGAGTGTCACCAGTTTTTAATTGCATTGAGGAGAGTTCGTTGCAGAAAGTATCGCACAATTATAAGTTTATTATAATTTTGTCTCCTTTCAGGTACCTTGCATAGATAGAGGAAAGTGCGTGATATTAAAGAAAAATTGCTATGCAGGATTATTTTGTACATGGCTG